CAATCAAATCTCCTTGATATGACTGAATGAATAAATTAAATGATGTGAAATACATGCCAATAAAACTATTTAAAAAACAAAAGAATGATGAGTTCTTACATCATGACCCTGCTCTATATTTACCTTCTTGAAAGGCTCACTGAAGATAAGGATGCCACAGCAAAGTATGGTGAAGAAAGCAGATGGTGCCTGACTATCAACTGAAATAGTGTCTAGGGCCTTAAAGGCTTATAGTCAAACAAGCAGCCATCTAAGCGAGTCATCTAATTCCACACGGAAGGAGCACACCAGCTTGTATAATCCAAAGATGACAGTTACAAAATTCAAATATGATACGGTGAAAAGCACCAGGGCAAAAATTATGAACACCCAATTTGTGGAGGGCTGTGGGAGCCCAGAACCCACCTGCAGTATCTAGTCAGACTGAGTCGCTGGCAGATCCGCACGGTCTTATTATGAGGCAGAGGCCACTGCAATCTTGATTGTGCTGGATGGAACTTGACACTTGGCCAGTTGACCATCCTATAGATGCAATTTGAATTTGTTCTGGGTACAAGTATCTCTTACTGGATCCATGACAGAAATTTCTTCCCTGGCTTTTTGAATGTTCATGGGAGTCTTTTCCTTCTTACACATTATTTGTATTTTTGTCTTTGTACTGTTATGATTTTATCCTTACCACCTTAGTCTGATTTTTTTTAATTGTTTCCTCTTGGGTCTCAAAAGGAGGTATGAATGCATAATGATAATAACTGATACAAGGGGCTATAGGTAATACAGTGGTGGGGAGGTGTGAATGCAGAATGATAATAACTGATACAAGGGGATCTAGGTAATACAGTGGTGGGAAGTAGGTGATCAGGAGGGTAAAGGGATTTCAGGAGTAAACAGTGAAAGTGGAGGGAAGAAGCAGCAGCATCAGAATGGCTTGTGATTTCATAACTCATTTTAAAGGCAATGCAACCATGGGAGGGGGGCGGTGGATTGCTCTAAAATTGATACGGTAATGATTGTACAATTCTCCTTGATATGACTGAACTATTGAATTGTATTATATGTAAACTATGTGCCAATAAAACTGTTGGAAGAAAAAAAATACATGTATACACCAAAGAAGGAATCTACATAAGTATGTGTAAACTCACAGCAATGCGGTTTGTTCTTTGGTGCAAAGTGGATTTGTACCTTATTTGTCAACATTAAAACAAAAATAATCCATTCATGTCCCTGGAACACTTATGTGTATGTACCAGAATTTCTGAATTCAATCTATTGACCAGCAGTTGGGCTGTTTCCAGCTTCTTGCGGTTGTAAACCGTGCTGTGATACATCTGGAAGGACACACACATACTGTGGCTCTTACTTCTTTAGGAAGTCTCTTACATCAGCAGAGCACGCTTGGTGTGGTAGAGGGGAAGTGAACATGGGGGGACAGCCCTCAACAAGATGGACTGACACAGTGGTTATCTCAACGGGCTCTAACAAGAACAACTGTGAAGGTGGTGCAGGACTAGCTGGGATTTCCTTCTGTTGTACTTAGGGTCACGATGCATGGGTACCACCTCGACGGGCCCTAACAACAAAGCGGTATTTCTATTCCCACTTGTGTAGGTAGCGCCTTAGCACTTTCCACAAAGGTTTTACATATTTGCTAGTCCATCAGCAGTGAATAAGAGTTCCAATCTCTCTATTCTCTCACCAGCACTTGTTTTCCGGTTGGTTGTTTTATTTAAATTTTGGGCTACAGTCATGGGTGTACGGTGATATTTCATTGTTATATTGATTTGCATCTCCCAGATGGCTAGTGATAATGAGCCTTTTTTATGGTTGTCATTTGAATGTCATATTTGGTTAGTGTTCATGTCTTTTGCTAACTTTTTAAATCATTTTAATTGAGGTATTAGAGAATTCTGTAGATTTTAATAATCAATCACTTGTCCACCGTATCATTGCTAAGGAAGCTTTTCCAGTCCACGGGCTCCCTTTTCACTCTTGATGAGCATTAAGTATCTTATGTCTAGTAAGTCCTGGTTGTCCGCTTTGTCCTCCACTGTGTGTGCTTCCTGTACCAGTGACATCTCGGAGGTTGAATGGCAACAAGTGTGAATATTCTACTTGAACAGCAAAGTTTGAAAAAAAAAATCTGCTCTGTGTTTGTAATTTTGCTCAATAGTTGAACTGAAAAGCAAACCCAAAAACCCTGTACAGACCGAGAGCGAGGCATGCTTCTTGTCCCGTTATGGACACAAAGGGGTGACGCTTCAGTTTACGTGCCACTTGTGCTCAGACAACATATAGTGCTTGTGCTCGTGCATTAACACATTTGTCACTGTGCTTTTTTTTCTCTCTCACCTTATTTGCATAAAATACTGTTAACTGTGGCTTCAAAGAATGTTTGTGATAGCAGCATTAAAGCTAAGAAGAAAACTATGAGAGCCACAATAAAAGAAATCACTTATTTTTTCAGAAATCTGAATCAGGTTCCCACTTGACTGATTTGGCGAGTGAACACAAACTGGCTAAGTCGATATTACCAACATTAAAAAAAAAAATTATGATGAAGGCAGCTAATGGAGCAGAAATCGTGAAATGGTTCATCACAAAACAAAGAACCCGGACCATCGAAGAGACTGAAAATTACTGTTAATTTAGAGAAATCAGAAACAACTCAATGACGATAGCATATCTGAGACAGTGATATACAAGAAGGCTAAAAGCCTTCAGAAGGATTTAATGAAAAATGTTGTGAGTGAATGCTGAACAGTTCCAAGAATTCAGAGCCAGCCACGACTTGTTGGAACAATTCAAAAACAGACCGGCACACACAGTGCAGTGAGGCATGGGAGGGGCGAGTGCAAATCCAGTCAAAGTCCATAAATTTGGGACTGATTTTGCTGAATAAGTGGAGGCTGAGGGCTTCACTCCCTAACAAGTGTTCGACTGGGAAGAAACCATATTTTGGAAAAAATGTCCAAGAGGACCTTTACTACTTAGGAGGAAAAAGCATCGCCAGGCCACACATCTGTGAAAGATAGGTTCACTCTGTTGTGTGGCAATGTTAGTGAGGATTTTAAAGTAAAGTCTATGTTAGTGTACCATTCTGAAAGCCACAGGTTTTTACACAACAAAACATAATGAAAATTAAGTGTGATGTGACCGGGCAGTTTTTCATTGAGTGGGTACATGAAATGTATGAGCCTAGTGTAAAAAGTACTTGCAGGAGAAAACTTGCCTGTAAAAGTATTCCTATTTAAAAACAAACAAACAAACAAAAAAACGGTATTGTGTTTTGATATGTGATGTATTTATGGTGTTTAGATGTTTTAGGGGGTATTCATACAACTTCGTTAACTTTGTGTTCAAGTCCTCGAAAAATGGATTGATAAAGTGTAATTTGGGGGCCTCAGAACCAATTATTTAGTTTTCCATTATTTCTTATGAGAAAAATATGTTCATTTCCTGAACTTTTCAGTGTTCAAAAATGAACAAATTGAGTTTGACATCCTAGTCATCACTGTATTTGGTAGTCTGAGTATACTCTGCAATAAGGCCCTTATGTTTCTCTCAATTTTCGCACCTCGATGATGCTTATAGCTCTGGGATTTACATTAGTTTCTGTGTATGAGGTGGGGTAGGTCTTGATTAATTTTCTGCAGATGGAGATCCAATTGTGCCAGCACTAATTTTCAAAGAGGCTGTCTATGGTCATGTATTAGGTGCAATCTGCAAGGCTGACAGTTTGAAACTACCAGCCACTCTGCAGGAGGAAGACAGCCTTTCTACTCCCGTAGAGAGTTATAGTCTCAGAAACGCACAGGGGCAGTTCTACTTTGTTCTATAGTCACTATGAGTCTGCATCAACTAACTGGATACCAGTGAGTGAGAGGGCCCTTTGGATTTCTCTTCCAAAGTATCCCCTTCAATAAACTCACTTTCTGTTAAACCTTTAAAAAGATAAATAAATAAAAATGTTCCTTAGAAGCAAAGATGGCAAGGCTGTGTCTCACATACTACAGACATATTATCATAAGGAACGGTTCCTAGAGAAGGACACCATGCTTAAAAGAGTGTCAGTAAGAGAAGATGACCCTCAACAAGATGGACTGAGGGTCACTGCAGTAATGGGCTCAGTCACAGTGATACTGTGAGGATGGTGCAGGACCGGGCGGCAGTATTTTGTACTGTGGGACATAGGGTCACTATACTGTGAGGTCACTACATGGCACCTAACCACATAACAGTAACATCTCTTTCTTAATTTAGGAGAAAAATAAAGCAGTCACAATTCCATCTTGGTCTATTCTCCCTGTTGTCCATTCAGACACATTTATTTACTCATGCACAGTGTGGGCCAGACATTAGAAAAGGGCTTAAGGGTGGATGAAAAGGACCTACTATTGCCATCAGGAAGGGAATACAAATGAGCAAATATTCAAATACAATGGAGTGCGTCTGCAGCTACATGATTCAGTAAAGGAGTGCCCTAATTCCAGTTGGTTATTAATATTAGAAATAGTTATTTTTTCAGTTAGAAATATTAATTTCTAAATGATCAAGAGTTCATGAAGGAGGGAGGGAGGGGAAAAAACCAAGGCGCTGATACCAAGGGCTCAAGTAAAAAGAAAATGTTTTGAAAAGGAGGAGGGCAACATATGTACAGATGTGTTTGACACAATGAATGTATGGATTGCTATAAGAGCTGTGAGAGCCCCAATAAAATGATTTTTAAAAGAGAATTAAAAATTTGTGATAATTTTTTAAAAGGGGGGAGTGAAAAAAAAAGGAGTATATCCAATGAATCAATACATCACTCTTCTTTTTCTCATTTATACATGATACTGTTTATTTCCTTTCCTTTGAAGACAAGCATAAAACAAACAAACGAAACAGGAAGCAATGTTTTTGAATCAATTAACTGAATCCACAGCTTCTAGACTTAATGGGAAGAGGTTAAGCTTCCATTTTAGTTAACAGGTAAATTCAATGAGCAACACACTTACCAATTTGCACTTGTTCAGGCTGGCTGAGAGAGACAAATGCTGATGTATCATCAATCCAGGATATCTGAATATTACCTGTGATATTGAACCAAAAGCAAAGTGAACATTTGTCCATTGAGATGACTACCAGATTGCCCTGGTAGATGTAGTTATAATTTAAAGAGATGGGCTGCTGATGTAAAACGTGATCAGGATCTCAGCACTACAGAGATTAAAACTATTTAAACTTAAATCTACTGTATCTGCTATTTAGTTTGAATCTTCAAGAAAAGACACAAACTGAGG